TCCCCCCTCCCAATCTATACCAGACCCTTTAGGTCTGGTAAGAAGGTTAAGAGGGACCCCACAGTAAAAAAAAAAAAAAAAATGTTTACGTGTGTGGGGCTCTCCCTATCAGCCATTGCAGACCCTTTAGGCCTGGTAGGACTTTTAAGGGGAACCCCACCCCCCAAAAATGGGGGGGAAAAAAAGCATGAGGGGCCCTCCTAAATTCCTACCAGACTCTTGTTCGAGCACAGGCCTGACAGGCCAGGAAAGGGGGGGGACAAGCGAGTGCCCCCCCTCCCTGGACCTTACCAGGTCATGTGCCCTTGACCTTGGGACAGTGTCCCCATGCCGATGAGGACAAGGGCTTCCTCCCCACAACCCTAGCTGGTGATTGTGGGGGTCTGAGGGCAGGGGGGGCTGGGTAGCATCAGGGTAACCCTACCCATTAATTAAAGGGTTAAAAGTGTGAAAAAATAGAACCAGACTTTTGAAAAAAATCCTTATTGACCAAAAAAAACAAAACAGCAGTTTTTGAGAAGGCCTTTTTTCAAACAAAAAAAAAAAATCCGAAAAAATGGTTCCAGCGTTGTAATCCATCGATAATCACAGTGGCCAGCATTGTTACGGGCCCACTGACCCGTCCGCACCCGCTGAACACTCACTGCAATCTGACATTTGCGATTCAGATGTAAAAAATTGGGCGGAGCTTGCAGTGATGTCACAGCTAGCACTGGCCAATTGAGTACATGTGACCAGCAACTGTCATAACTGTCATTAACAATTGGGTGGAGCTAGCGGTGACGACCCCGTTAGCTCCATCCTATTGCCTTGAGACATGATTTTCCAAATTCACTGAGACTTTGGCCAATCATTGCTCTTATTGTGAGCTCACCTGTGATTGGACAAAGCATTGCACCTGACCTGTTGTCAGGTGAAATTCTTTGGCCAGTTACAATGTACCTCCAGAGTGCATTTAATTGTGCGGCACGTGGGCGAATGGCCCGCCGAATGCCCCAGATGTTTGTGTGTTCAGCAAACACATGAACATCCAATGTTCGAGTCAAATGTACGTTCGACTTTAACATATAGACCATCTTTACTGTCTACCAGTCATGAGGGATTCCCATTAGAAGAGATTGAATAAAAATATCCGTTAATGGTAACAACTGGACCTAGAAGTTCTCTTGAACTCTGGGATGAATACCATTAGCACCCATTTTATTATTAATCTTTACATGGGTCAGGTCCTCTGCTACCCATGTCTCTAGAAAACCTTCAATTCCCCCCTCCCCTCTCAAGTACCCCCACAGCCATAATCTGTTGGTGCTGCAGGGTTCATACGAATGGCTGGAACTGCCACAGACACCCATCAAAAGTGCTCACTATGCCCGTCCTTTCTGCCCAAATCTTCCATTCATAGAGGCTGTACTGTAGCTTCCATCAATGAAAACCGTCCTATGAATAGAGGACAGGCAGATGAATGAAAGGTACTCCTCCATTCATGCCACAGATTGGAACCCTTCATCTCTGTTGGGATGCAGTGATCTCTTTGCTGGGAAGTAGAGCTCCCCAATCAGCATGGAGCAGGGGCTCTCTGCTGATTAAAGAATATGTAAAATCTGATAAATGTATATATCTGATTTAAAGTGAATGTTCAATTGGAATTTAAAGCTTTGATGAGATTCTAGTGAATGGGTTTACATAAACTTTAATAATACAGTCTTTGGTTTTCTAGTTTTGGAAAGAGTTTGGAATTGATGAAACCCAAGTTAGGTGTTTATTTTTGTCATCACTGGCAAAGATTATTCTTCAGAATTGTGGCTCTCCTACGTAAAGTACTGGGTTCCTTGTGTCATTTCAAGCACAGAATTTGTATTTTCTGTATGTCTATGTGGGTGCTTTTGTAAGCAGGGGTTAGGTTCCTTTTAATTATAACTCCTCCTGATGGGTGGAGTTGTGGGTCATGTTGCCTGTTTAAGGCATGGGAAGAATCTTGAGAGGGTCAAACAGACAACTTGGGGCCAGGGAAGAGAGTACTCAGTCTTATGTGCCGATGAGGAAAACTACAGAATTCAGGTACCAGGATGGGAATCAAGATAATGGATTGTGAATCTTTGAAGTCAGTACTGTAATGCTCGTTCCTACCATCATTCAGTGATGTGACTGAACAGATTACTAATGCCATTATCTGGGAAATGTGGCTGCCACTGAAATGGAACTCCTGCTGCTATGTTTAAAGTAAATAAGTTTTTTTCACAACCAGAAACCTTTGTGCGATGTTCTTCCAAGAATAATGTTTGTGTACAGCCAATGCCTGGGGAGAAGAGTTATGTGAATCTAGTGGTGCAAGCCTGGTTGTTTCAGGAGTGGGTGGTGATAGAGGAAAAGGAGTCACCTGTCTTATGGTAAGAGAAAACCCTCTCATGTAACATGTGTCAGTTGGCCCGGGCCCAGGCTCATGGTGGTCAGTTGGAATTCTGGAGCTTCCATCTGGAAGCCCTCCTATGTGTGTATTTCTGGATGAGACATTATGTAGCACTACCCTCTTAGGAGTCGTTAAAGTTTTGGGTTCCCCTATCATCCTGCACAGCCAGGCAACATGTATTTTCCACACAGACTTGCATCCAGGAGACAGTAACCAGTCCTTGAGCTTTTTTTTTTTTTTTATTAGGGGAATTAGAACTTGGATGGGGTAAGGGGTATATGGGATGCCTAAGGGTAATGGCAACAGAGGACAATCTTCCTGAAATATGTACAAGTCTTTACAGCACAAATTCTCTTCCGGAAAGCTAGCCAGCATCTCCTGCAGTGCCATCCCAGACCCCAGATTCTCCTAATCCAGTTCTGGGTGAATCCCTGAGCAGGGAATCCAGTATCTGCCACATTAAGGGTGAGACAGGCCCGGATAGTAGCTAATCCAGTTTCCCACTGAAGTGCTCCTTCCTTTTACTGGCCTGGGGGTGCAGGTCTACTCACTCACTCTTTTCTCCTATGCAGCTGCTGGGTTGGTGGCTGCTACCAGGCCTTCTAGCAGGGTCGTTCCTGCTGCACAGGTGGTCCTCACTCTGGGGGGCGCTCTGAAGTCCCAAGCTTCCTCCAAGCAACCCTGCCTGTAGATGAGCCCCTTCCCATGTGGGCTCCCTCCCAGCCTCCTGCTCTCCAGCCTCACTTCTCCATCTTCCACCTGAACTCTCCCGCTCCTCCTGCTGAGTAGGCTCTGTCACTTTTAAGAGCTGTCCTGACCCCATGCCAAGCCTCCTGTTGGGGAGAATCCCTCAAAAGTGCGGACCAGCCACTCTTATTGCTTCTCGAACTTTCTGAAAAGTTCCAGTGCAGGGGGAAGTCATAGAGAGCTGATCTGCAGAGCCTCTCAGCTCTAACACAATTTGACCCCACTCTGACTGTTACACCTGAGCTGCTACTCACCCCATATCTAAAGAATCAACTCTAGCTCCCCCTAGCTATCTAGGAGGGTACTACAATTATTTTGGAAGTTACTTTACAGTTAGGGTTCATTGTCAATGGTTCAATGTTTTCTGTAAAAAGCTGTGGAAAAAGCATCAGGGTCTGGTTCATTACTTATCAGCTGATGCACTTTCTGTGTTCTGAGGAAAGGTGCAGGGTCTGCATCTTTTTAGAAGTGATTACCCTTGGGGAGTAGCTCACCAAAACTTATATTTCTATTTCAGAAGATGCCTAAGAGGATGTTTTTTTTGAGTCACATGTCAAGTTGTTAAGGAGCCAGCACCCACTGGTGTCCTAACAACCAGCTGTCAGCAGAAGTGATGAGTCCCTGGTTGTTAAGGAGGCAGCACTCGTCAGGTGACCCCTCCCCCCTTCTTATTACGTCATTGACCATATTTGGACATGTCCATATATGGTCAATGGTGTCACCAGGTGACCCCATCCCTTTGTTATCTTCATCAGCAGGGGAAAATGGAATGTCTTTCAGCACAAGACAAGCAATGGGAGCAGTTGGGTTCTGGCGGGAGTCAGGGTTTTTTTCATGTAGGTTGGTGGCTGTCGTTCAGAGTTTGTTTTGTTTTTTTTTAAACAAAGGACTTGTTAATTTTGGTTGTGTTTTCTGGGGTACATTCTATTTCTTGTGGATAAGTAGGGGTACTATGTACTGTATCTATGGATTTAGGTGTCCCCTTAATGTTAAAGAGGGCTTCCAGATTCTGATAAGCACATACCCACAGACCCTTACAACCACCAGGCTAGAGTTGTGGGGAAGAGGTCCTTGTCCTCATCAACATGGGGACAAGGAGCTTTGCCATGGGGGATCCTGCTGGCAATGTACCCCCTACCATGGTGAGAGCATGTGGTCTTGTATGGTTCGGGGGGCACATGCTCCTCCCCCTTTTCCTGGCCTGCAGGCTGCATGCTTGGATAAGGGTCTGATGTGTATTTTGGGGGACCCCCTTAAAATCTGTACCAAGCCCAAAGGTTCAGCAATGAAAAATGCATGCAAAAATGCACCTAAAATGCATATTCATTGCATTAAAAAGTTGCGATGTTTATTTTTGAAAAATGCAAGCTGTGTTTTTAAGTGCACCGGTGTGAAAGGGCCTGTGTTTTAGAAGTGCTGGAACATTTAGGATATTTGCAGCCTAATGGCTCCCTACTTATCAGAAAGATATAAAAGTATTATCTGCAAAATGAGCAAATCGCCGCAATGTGCTTTATGAAACCAGAAAAAACTGCCCGTGTATCCAGGTAGAGAAGAAACTGTGATTACTTCAATGTTGCTTTTTCCCACCTGTATAACTACAGTGCAATGTTTCTGTTGTAGATGTCAATGCACAAAGTGGATCCTCGGAAGGCCGTAAAAGATTCAGTGAAATATTTCGAGATCTGGATGCCTTAGAGATAGGCCTCGGCAATGAGTAAGTGCCACGTTTTTTAAAAAGGTCAGTCCACCCACAGCTGATATATCAGTTTTTGGTATTTCCTGGAGAGTTACAGCCAAACTCCAGGCACAAATACTTTAAATATGTTCCCCAATAGCCACAAACAAAATAAATCCACTTTGTGTACACCAAATGCCATCGCAAACCCAAATGTTCCCTTGTGAAAGTAGTGCTGACATCACTGTGCTGTACATAGCCTATGTAGAGAGAAGACCCAGCAGCCCCAACCAGGGGCGGACTGACCATTTGGAAACTCTGGCACTGCCCGAGGGCCCGGGGTCAGTAGGGGGCCCCATGAGATGCCCCTGGTACCTTTTTCATAGGCTTTTTTGAGTTTGTGCAAGGACACAGGGGCCCCATGATCCCCTATTGCTCGGGGGCCCCATGAGTTGTCAGTCCACCCCTGGCCCCAACCACTACAGGCTGCTTTCAGAAAACTACAGGAAGGGGCAGAGACAGGACCAGTCACCCTACACAAGGAGATAGAGCAGCAGCGACCAGTCTTTATTACAGGAAGCTCCTGCACAAAGGTAAAGTTCCACACTGGATTACTTCACAGATTTGGAAGAAATACACAAAGAACATCACATTTGCCTGTCCATAGAGCTTGTGGGTTGGGGCCTAAGGGGCCCTAGTGGGACACACTGGAACTGTATTGGCTAATGCTCAAACCCTAGGCAGGAGCTGTGGTCATGTGAAATCAGCATTAAGGCAGGACTCCAGACTTGGACAGTTAACTCTTTGTAATTTGTGGCCATACTTCTCACACTGGTAACACTAAACATAGTGAGCACAACTTCTGTTAGAGAGCACTACATTCCCAGATGTGCAGCATTTCTGAGCTGGTACCACGGAGCCTGTACTGGTCTCCACTAACTCAGCAATCCCGTCACCTCACTTCCAGTAACTGATCTGACTGTTGCTACTGGATAGAGCAAACACACTTCTCCATGCTTGTTCTCCTCCCTCCTGAGAGCCCTCTTCATGTCCCTCTCTCCTTCATGATTCTCAGGCCAAGTCCATAGGCACTCTGTGCCACAAGGTCAGTTCCAGTATGCAGGAACCAGTTGCTAATGGAGGTGCCAAGATGAACACTCCTTCACTACCAGAGTGTCTGACACCCTTGCCATGTCACCCGTCTCCTGGTTGGTTGGATGGTTTACCAAGGGACACAGATATGGTAGTTCTTAGCAATGGCAATATAGTCTCCTCTGGACAGCATTCTATTGGTTAGACACTTTACTGTATCTTCTCTAGCCTCTTCAGTCCCCTGATGTAAGTCCTGTTCTTTGATACACCATACATGCACTCCTTTAGAGACTTCAGACAATTTAGATGAACAACAAAGATCCTTTACTGGCATAATTAAAGGCAACAAACACACAGTTCTCAAAGATATCTTCCATACATTCCTGTACAGAATTATCTAAGTGCCCTTGATGTAGTCATACTTGAGTTAGCAGCAAAGTCCATAAAAGTAATCCTTCACAAGGCAAGAGTCCATTTAAGCAGTAAACCCCTCAGAGGCAGCGAGCAATCCCTTAGATTCCATGATGTGGCAGTATTCCCCTAAAGGTAACAAGTCCATGCAACAGGTATTTCAAGGCTAGGTAAGTCCTCAGGCTCCAGACCCCATAGGGAGCTTCGACTGGATTCCCAATAAGGGGGCACAGACTGACAGAGTTACAGCTACATCTTAATAGTTTTTTTTTCCCTACCCAACCTCTAGGAGCACAAATGAGCCCTTATGTATATGGAATGACCGGTAGGGGGAGGTAACCATATGAAAAAGAGCGGGAAACCTGGCCAGCAGCGTTAACCCTTCTTTATCAGATTCACAAGCCTAACAGGTAAATCAAGGACAAATGTTTAAACAGGTACATTGTAACATTTGGTCTGAACACATAATCACAGTTGAGTCAGGTAACCCCAGAGCGTGAACAAAACAATAGAAAAAACTCTTAACCATTTGGAAGCACCTGCTTACAAGCTGCATGGAGATTCTGAGCAGGTCCGCTTGAAAAACTGACAGCTGGACCTGTTCAGAAAACTAGTTTGAAAGGGCCCTAAGGGAGATAGTATTAGCTATGTGAATACTGGATACTAATGCGCTTTGTTTTGCATAGAACGGTGGACATGTTCATGAATGATACTGGAACTTCAAACTCCGAGGCCCAACCAGATGAGGAAGAAGAGCCTCTGGTGAGACAGATCTGCTATTCATTATTAACAAAAGCTGTTTTAGTTATTGTGGATTTATTCCTGCACAGTAGTGGGTTATTATTGTGTTTACACCAAGCCTGGTTGTTCTAATTTACAAATGAAAGCTGACACTAAAGCTACGTTCACACTAGCGTTGTGTGCAGGCGGCAGAATGGCGTTTGGGAAGCGTTTTTACCGCTTCCCAAACGCCTCTAACAATTCTGCACATTGGGGCACATGGTGCTGTGCTAACGGGAGCGTTAGCGTCGCGTCGCGGCAAAACAGACGTCTTTTTGGTCGAGTCAGGAGGCGTTGAAGCCTCCTATTCTAGTCTATGGTGCCGCTCCGAAAATGCCCGGCCGGCGTTTGTGGCGTGTTTGCGGAGCAGTAACACCATTTAAACTTCATTATAAGCGTTTTCAGAGCGTTTTTAACGCTCGGCAAACGCCTAGCAACCGCCGCTAAACCGTGCACGCGGCGTGTTTTTGCCGAGCGTTAAAAAACGCTCCGCAAACGCCGGACCAACGCTTGCCAAATGCTATAGGGGCGTTTGGCAAGCATTGGTATAACAGTCAAGTGTGAACGAGCCCTAAGAGGCCAGCAGGGCTTCCTTCAGCCAGTATAGCAGTGCGTGGTTTCTGAATATTTTGGATTATATATTTGATTATATTGAATTTAGAGTAATTATGCATTCTTACTATATGGTTTGCAGTGGTGTATATTGAGTTTACACGATTGCTGTGGCACTATAGTGTTTGCATGCTGCACGTGTGGCACTGTCTCTAAGACCTAAGATAATACACTATGTCTAGATTTTTCTTTTTTTGAGGTATTTGAAAAGCATCTGGGATTCATCTTCACTGTGTACGAGTGGGTACCTATTTGTCAAGATCTGGATGTAATTTGGACAATTTTTCACAGTTTTTTACGATTTGGGACATTTATTTGGACTTTGGGTATATTTTAAGTCGGTTGATATATGATATTGGTACTTCAGGGGAAGGATTGTGATACGACTTTAATGGGTATTATATTGAATTTTTTGTGTGCTGACTTATAGTTATTGTGGTTTCTGAATATGCCACCTGTATTGCAAAAGTTAAGTGCAACTCTACATTTGGTGAGAAAAAGCAATTCTACTTTCTTATATTACTACTGGATGCAGTGTTACCCTTTTCTATTTTATTCCTATTTGGTGGTTTGCGGAGTAAAGCCTGTCTACACCCTATGCGGTTAGGTTCACATCTCCGCGTTCCTGCGGGCTGTGTTTTGCACAGGCACGAGAGCCCATTCATTTGAATGGACTCCCGTGCCCCGGGACATGCAGGGAAGAAGTCCCTGTACTTCTTCAGAAAACGCAGCCCGCACGGGAACCTCGGTTCCCAATACGGTTGTGATTTCCAGTGCGGGCGGCGTGCCATTAGTATTAATGGAACCCGCCCGTGGGTCCACATTCCTCTGTGCAGATTTTTGTGCGGATCAGCAGCGGCACCACCCGCACATATGTGAACCTAGCCTCACTGGTGCCGGCCTCAATAGGTTCAAACTAACAATTTCTAGGATGGGAATAGTTTGACACTTCTCCCTCTTTCTTCCAGTTGTCTGGCTGCTATGTCCACACTTTGGTTTCAGTACTTTAAAGCCCAAGTCCAGGAAAGCTGAAAGCCCAACTCTGTGCAATAACAAAAAAAAATTCCCTTGAAGTGGAGCTGTGCCCACACTGCAAGGGTTAAGTCCTTGTTTTGTCTAGGGGAGGGAAGAAAGCCTTATACTCACCTGATTCACTTCTCTACCACTAAATGGCGCTCCTCCTCGATCCAATAGTGGACTGTTCCTGCTCCTCAAATCCACAGCAGGGCTATGGAGCCTGCTCTGGGCTTGTATTGAATCCAGTGGGTCAAACTAGCATCCAGATAACTAGCAAGAGCAGCTTTCGCTTTCATTTCATGAAATATTCACTTTAAAGATCCCTGAAGATATGGTGGATGTCATAGGAGACATCCCCATTACTAGAAGGTAAAAGCACTTTTGTGCTGCCTCCTAAAGATAACAGACACTTCAATACCTATTCCAGAAAGAAAAACTTTATTATTCGTGCAGTTGTGGGTTATGTGTCTCGAGCCACAACTTAAAGTACCATCAACAGACAATAGTCGACAGACAGAAAGCAGAGAAGCCCAGGGGGACAGAGAGGGACTGTAAGAGGTTGAGTTGTCTACCTTTTTTATTTCAAGATTTTTGGGGGTGTATTTATGATTTATGCTAGTTTAATTTATTTGTTTTTGGGGGGTTTTTTTCTTAATTTTTGGGGGTTTTTGACTGTTATTTGTGTGTGGTCACTTTAAATTTGTAATTTTCCTTCCTCCCTTACTGTTTGTTTTTTGGGTCTTGTGAAATAAAAAACCTACTACAATAAGTCTAATAAGGACCCGTTTTTTTGGCGCACGAGTAGGACCAGGATGGTGGAAAGAACTTCCTTCACCCTGAGATGTTTAAAGTGACACTGTCTCTGTACTAAATCTTCCCAGGCAAACCCCTGGTCCCTGCTGTTGACCTCCACATCATTACAGGACATAAGCTGGCCATAGACACAGTAGAACAAAATCCAGCAGGGACCAGCCAAATTTCAATCTGTGTGGCCATGCCTGTTAGACAGAAGTCGATTGTTAGAATGACTTTTGTCAAATGGGCTTGCTGGAAACTTCTTTTTGATCAGCTGGCTGCAGCCGCTGTCAGAATACAATGTCCTGGCAGGGGAAGATTCCTCAATTCACCTCGCTTTTGTGGATGGAGGGATCCTGTTAAAAAAAAAAATGATTGATGGTCAGCTATAGAAGTGATGTTAGGATAGATGGGAGGATACAGTGAGAGCCACGCGGCACACAAAAGAAAGGAGAAAATGGTGGGGAACGTTCCACGTCGGTCTTCTGTTAAATTTGTACTGCCCCCCCACTGCATAGGTTAAATGCTTATTTGGCTTGGAAGGAAAGGAATAATGTGAAATACATGCCTTATTCCTCATTTCTGCAGGCCCTCCCCTTGTTGTAGCTCTCTGACATCACATACAATGCAGGGCAATTGTCTTGCATTGTATGGAGGGCAGCGAGGGCTTTTCTACATTCTGGAGCCTTGGACAGCAGAGGAAAGTGGTGACTGCTGGGGGAGCGAGGAAAAGGGTAAGTATTTGAACTATTCCTATTCCCCAAGGCAGAAACAATTCAGTACTGTCCGTGATACTTTTTTTTATTTGCACTAACATACAATTTTGAGGACAAGCTTTCGGGGTATGTCCCCTTCTTCAAGGTCTAAGCAGTACTATTACAAATCACAAAGTTTAAGCAGAATGTTAGAAGGGATTGAGAAAAAAAAAAAAGGCTACAGATAAGATACATCAAAAGCGAGGGGGGGGAGATACTACACTCACACAGAGCTTTAGCTAATAGATAGTCATAAAGCTGTCGGATAATGGTTGAGGAATCCCATGTCCAAGTTAAGGCCGTTATCTTTTGTGTCAAATAGAATTATCATTCTTAGTTCAAATGTTTTTCTTTCCTGGATGGATTTGAATTTTCCTTTCAGAACTAAAATATTGAGGTCTTCCATATTGTGGCCTGGTTGTGTGAAATGGTGTCCTACAGGTGTGCAGAGGTCATCTTCTTTATGTTCCTTGATGGTATGTCTGTGCGACTTATTCCCCAAGGCAAATGAGAAGATACTATAGATATATAAGGGTGCATTAATGTACACTGAAAGTATTTTGAATGGATGTTCATTGTAAATATACAAATGCTTCTCGTTACTGGACTTGTTTTATACTCATCTTTCTGTAATATACAGATCAGCACTCCGCTGGAACTTACCCGGGCAGCATGTGACAGAGATGGGATGGCTGTATCCAGTGAGTTTTACTTTATGCTGATCTTTCAATTACATAGTTAGTCAGGTTAAACAAAAACTCAAGTGCATCTATTTCAACCAATAGAGAAAAAAATAAATATAAAACCTCCATATACAGAATCCTATGTCCACAGTTGATCCAGAGGAAGGCAAACAAATCCCAATAAAGCATGGTCCAATTTGCTCCAGCGGAGGGGAAAGAAATCTTTCCGGATCCTCCAGGAGGCAGATGGATATTCCCTAGATGAACAATCTCTATTAATATCCAGTTATATTTTCTACATTTAGGAATACATTTACAGTTCCTTGAAAAAGTATTCATACCCCGTGAAATTTTCCACATTTTGTCATGTTACAACCAAATGTATTTTATTGGGATTTTTGTGATAGACCAAAACAAAGTGGCACATAATTATGAAGTAGAAGGAAAATGATAAACGGTTTTCAACATTTTTTACAAATAAATATGTGAAAAGTGGGGGGTGCATTTCTATGCAGCCCCCCTGAGTCAATACTTTGTAGAACCACCTTTCATTGCAACTACAGCTGCAAATCTTTTTAGGTATGTTTCTACCAGCTTTGCACATCTACAGAGTGACATTTTTTCCCCCATCTTTCTTTGCAAAATAGCTTGGATGGAAAGCGTCTGTAAAAAGTAATGTTCAAGTATTTCCACAGATTCTCCATTGGATTTAGGTCTTGACTTTGACTGGGCCATTCTAAAACTTGAATATGCTTTGATCTAAACCATTCCATTGTAGCTCTGGCTGTATGTTTAGGGTTGTTGTCCTGCTGGAAGGTGAACATCCACCCCAGTTTCAAGTCTTTTGCAGACTCCAAGAGGTTTTCTTCCAAGATTGTCCTGTATTTGGCTCCATCCATCTTCCCATCAACTCTGACCAGCTTTCCTGTTCCTGCTGAAGAAAAGCATCCCCACATCATGATTCTGCCGCCACTTTGTTTCATGGTGGGGATGATGTGTTCAGGGTGAAGTGCAGTGTTAGTTTTCCTCCACACATAGAGTTCTGCTTTTAGGACAAAAAGTTAAATTTTGGTCTTATCTGACCAGAACACCTTCTTCCACATTCTTGCTGTGTCCCCCACATGGCTTCTCGCAAACTGCAAATGGGACTTCTTATGGCTTTCTTTCAACAATGGCTTTCTTCTTGCCACTCTTCCATAAAGGCCAGATTTGTGGAGTGCACGACTAATAGTTGTCCAGTGGAAAGATTCTCCCCCCTGAGCTGTGGATCTCTGCAGCTCCTCCAGAGTTACCATGGGCTTCTTGGCTGCTTCTCTGATTAATGCTCTCCTTGCCCTGCCTGTCAGTTTAGGTGGACGGCCATGTCTTGGTAGGTTTGCAGTTATGCCATACTCTTTCCATTTTCGGATGATGTATTGGACAGTGCTCCGTGAGATGTTCAAAGCTTGGGATATTTTTTTTATAACCTAACCATGCTTTAAACTTTTCACAACTTTATCCATGACCTGTCTGGTTTGTTCCTTGGCCTTCATGATGCTGCTTGTTAACTAATGTTCTCTAACAAACCTCTGAGGGCTTCATAGAACAGCTGTATTTATACTGAGATTAAATTACACAAAGGTGGACTCTATTTATACTAATTAGGTGACTTCTGAAGGCAATTGGTTCCACTAGATTTTAGTTAGGGGTAAAAAGTATAGTAAAAAGCTATTTATCATTTTCCTTCCACATCACAATTATGTGCCACTTTGTGTTGGTCTATCACATAAAATCCCAATAAAATACATTTACCTTTTTGGTTGTAACATGAAAAATGTGGAAAATTTCAAGGGGTATGAATACTTTTTTAAGGCACTGTAGCTCTTTTTTTTTGTAAACAATCTACTTAGCTGGCCAGAACTAGTTCTTGAGAGAGTCTATTCCACATTTTCACAGCTCTTGCTGTGAAGAAACCTTTCCGTGTTTGGAAATTAAATATTTTTTCCACCAGATGTAAATAGTGCCCCCTTGTCCTCTGTGATGACCTCAGGGTGAATAGCTCTACACCGAGTTCACTATATGAACCACTGATGTATTATACATGTTGATCATATCCCCCCCGTATGTATTATACATGTTGATCATATCCCCCCGTATGTATTATACATGGAGATCATATCCCCCCTTATGTATTATACATGGAGATCACATCCCCCCTTATGTATTACACATGGTGATCATATCCCCCCTTATGTATTATACATGGAGATCATATCCCCCCTTATGTATTATACATGGAGATAATATCCCCCCTTATGTATTATACATGGAGATCATATCCCCCCTTATGTATTATACATGGAGATCATATCCCCCCTTATGTATTATACATGGTGATCATATCCCCCCTTATGTATTATACATGGAGATCATATCCCCCCCTTATGTATTATACATGGAGATCATATCCTCCTTATGTATTATACATGGAGATCATATCCCCCTTATGTATTATACATGGAGATCATATCCCCCCTTATGTATTATACATGGAGCTCATATCCCCCCTTATGTATTATACATGTTGATCATATCCCCCCCTTATGTATTATACATGGAGATCATATCCCCCCTTATGTATTATACATGGTGATCATATCCCCCCTTATGTATTATACATGGAGATCATATCCCCCCCTTATGTATTATACATGGAGATCATATCCCCCTTATGTATTATACATGGTGATCATATCCCCCCTTATATATTATACATATTGATCATATACCCCGTTAATCTCCTCTTCTCAAGAGAGAATAATTCAGTTCCTCTAATCTTTCCTCACAGTTGATCTTCTCCATGCCTCTTATCAGTTTGGTTGCCCTTCTCTGTACTTTCTCCAGTTCCCCAATGTTCTTTTTGTGAATTTGTGCCCAAAACTGAGCTGCATATTCCAGATGAGGTCTTACTAATGATTTGTACCGGGGGTAATATGATATCTCTCTCTCTGGAGTCTATACCTCTTTTAATACAGGAAATGATTTTTTTTTATTGCTTTAGAAATTGTCAACATCAGATCTAGGTTATCCAGATTCAGTGCAGTTTCTAAGTCCTGATCCCCCCTTCAACCCCGCTCAGCCATTCACTGGCAAGCCCTGTGTGCTGCTGTTTCTCCTCCCCCAACTGTTATGCAGCTGAGAACAGAGGAAATGTAATCACTTGTAAAAAAATGGGAGAGAAAAGTGTTTATAATGTTTTTGTTTATCTTTTCTTAAATGTTTTGCCTTTCATTTCTATTTTAAACTGAATGGGTTGTTTTACAAGGTAAGGGTTTACATACACTTTAAGTTCCTTGGAAGCCAAAAGTAACAGAAGTGAAAGAAATCCTATTCCTTTCCAAACGTCTAAAAAATAATTTTGGCAGGAGTTGGCCTAGTACAGTCATTTATTGCGTTCCTGAGGCCATGTTGGATAATCATTGTTTTTTGAATATTTGCCATCTCTAGAGAAGGCTTCTAATTAGCTTCATGCTATAAAATCACTGTCATGAAGTGGATGCCAAGAACATGCTCGGCAGAATCCAAAAGCTGTTCCTCCTGAGCAGCAAATTAGGAACTTTTTTTTTGTTAATGTCCTCTCTTTCTGTCTACAGTAGAAGAAGCAGATGAAATTCTCATCCATAGTGAAGGAGGAGTGGAATCTGCCCTGAACTACGCCAAGCGCTGGTGTAAATATATCCGGGAAGTACTGGGATATATTGAGAAGAGACTCAGCTACGGTATGGTCCTTACAATTACCAGACAGTCCTTGATCAATGATAGTATTTTGTGACACCATATCCTTTACTGTATGGGAAATTATATATAGATCCTCATTGCTAGCTAGCTGGTAGGATGCCTGGAATGTGGATTCTAGTTAGCCATTGCAAATGTGAACTTGTTATATGAAGATAATTGCTTTACTGAAGACCTCAGAGCAGAACATAAATTGAGCTATGTGAACACAAAGGGGGAAAGTTACTAAAATTGGAGAGTGCAAAATCTGGTGCAGCTCTGCAGAGAAACCAAACAGATTCCAGGTTTTTTTTTGTCAAAGCATAATTGAACAAGCTGAAGCTAGAAGCTGATTGGCTACCATGCACCGCTGCACCAGATTTTGCACTCTGCATTTTCAGTAAATCAACCCAAAAGAGACATATGTTTTTTATTGTGGCAGTCTCAGATTCAATTACTGCCACCAGAATGTGATAATATTACACTCTCAGCTTTACCCTGCACAGAGATTGTCAAGTTTGTGGAAGAACAGTCTTAGCTCCAGGAGCCTGAAGGTGACTGTCACTGGGGCAGGTTGTCTCTGCCGTTAATCCATTACATATATAAATGGTAGCCACCTACACCATTACCAGCATCTGCTGCAGCAATCCTGACCTTCAGGAAATATGTGACACTAGCTGCCACACAAAGACAGGAATGTAACAGAGCTTTAAAATTCAGTAGCTCTTAAAAAGGCAAGGATTCTTTTATTTCTGATTTAGAGCATTCAAACCACATGCAGTCCAGTGCATTTTGAATCTGTATCAAAAACACAACAACAGTAAAGCCTAAAAAATGGAACTAATGCACCCATCACATTTGATAATCTACAATATATTTAATCTTCATTTTTGGGTTTATAAAGGGCTTTAATTCAAATCTGATATATGAGAAACATATAGGCTGCCATTGCTAGCCTATATTTTAGAAAATGCCAGGTGCCTGGCTGTCAGGCTGGTTTCAATATTCTAGGTATTTTTTTTTCTATTATATCTTTTATTAATTTTTTTTTATACAAATAGAATGTCAACACACAGCTAAAAAAAAAAACAAGTGGAAAAAAAAAAAACGTCACTCATATATCCCAATTGCATCATAACATCTTATACCCCCCCCCCCATAAATACCTATTCTAGGTATTTAAACAAAAACAAATCTGCAAATTAGGATTTCTGACCATCCAAGTCTGCATACTTGTTCTGGCTTGTTGAGTTAGAAAATACTAAGACAGAGGGTCAGCATAGAGGCCAAGCATCTTGGACTTTCCAAAGGAACTTAGTAGTGGCAACTCTTGTATGTCAGACTGACAGATTTACTTTAAATCCCCAAAGTTGAGAAGAGTTAGTCCCCCATCTGGGTGATTTTCTCCTACTACACCAACAAAAAAAACACTTTTTGTAGTCAGTGTAAAATAAGAGTCTTGAAGTTGAACAAAAAGAGAAAAGAAGTCTACATGTTCTCTTTTAGGAGTTTACATCAAAGACATCAAACCTACAAATTATTTTTTGTATTTCAATGATTTTTATTAATTTTAAACAGTATAAAACAGAGGCAACAAAACACACCCACGCACGGGCTATCAATTGCACCAATAAGAAAGGCATAATAGAGCAGACAACGCTCTAATTCCAATAAGGCAAAACGTATGCCCACGCAGGGGCTATCAGTGGCACATAGGTTACAATAACATCAGTAAGACTCTGACTATCGCAACTAAAGACAAATTATTTTTTAAGATCCCCAAGTTTGGTTTGTTTCTGTGATTCTAAAGAGGTAGTTAAAAAAGGTAAATGGCTGATTATGCCATGATTAGATGATGTAATTAATTTTTAACCAGCAGATAATGCTGTCCTGTTGGTCTTATGACTCTTGAATGTCATGTCAGTGACCTCACTTTTCCCAACCTTAATTAAGAACTAAAGCTGGATCACTGACCACTCTCAGCCTGCTGTTTGGACACTGAACGTCATCAGTCTTCTCTTTCTGCTCCCCCCTCCAGTCACCAAGCTCCCATGCTAAGCTGACATCACTGTGCAGTGCCGTTAGAGCCTGACTGGCTCACAGTGCAGCTCCTTCCTTGTAGTATTACCACTGGTGTGCAAGAAATTACAGGATGCTAATATAAAAGCATATTTGGGTACTTCTACTAGCTATATAATACTTGCTAAAATACATATAGTATAGTGATCTTTAAAGAATGCATACGGGCTCCTTTAAACTTGCCCAACCTGCTGATGATGATCTTTGGTTGCGAAACGCGTAGGCAATGGCTTAGCCTGTGATGTCATAATGCGCGTCCATTCCCAGAAGTGTGGCATTCTCTGCATGTGTATCTCTGTACTCACTGTGTTAGTACCTCTTCTGCCGTGGAATAAAGTGATTTATCCTAACCGTATTACACTATGTTGGCCTCTTTTGATTTTTTGGGAGGATAATTTAACCCTGCGTGGTGCACTGTTAACCCTTGGAGTAAGCCAAGGGTCTCAAACTGGCTGCCCTCCAGCTGTTGCAAAACTACAAGTCCCATCATGCCTCTGTCTTTGGGAGTCATGCTTGTAACTGTCAATCTTGCAATGCCTCATGGGACTTGTAGTGTCTTGGAAAAAATGCATTGTCCACCTTAGCTAAGACAAGAAAAATATGAAAGCAAGATCCAGCAGGGTCTTAAGGTGGTTGTAAACCTCATGCATGAAATATGAACAAAGCATATCCCTCTATAGGGCATACTTGTCTCAATAAAGAGCACTAAGGGGGAGATTTACTAAAAGTGGTGCTCTCAGAATCTGGTGCAGGTGTGCGCAGTAGCTAATCAGCTTCTAACTTCAGCTTGTTTCTATGCAGAGCTGCACCAGGTTTTGCACTGTCCAGGTTTAATAAATAACTCCTTAAGTGTCATTTCTATCTGCTTCCTTGTTTCTCTGTTATCAATATAATTCACTTCTGACAAGTTTTCCTGACACCAAAAGAAAAATGGTGACCGGGGAGGGAGCTCCAGCAGATTGACGGCTGCAGCTCTGTTCCTATTTGCTGTGTGGTGGGGGCTGTCTCTTCCCTCCAATCAGCTCTCAGAGCTCTCCTCACTGAGCTATGCAGTGTGTAATTTCAGTTCTCTGACCCCTTTTTTCTGAACTCTCAGACAAGCTTTATAAATTCTGAATTTTTAACTGATTTAGAGAATAGAGGGCTGCAGAAAAAGAGGTGCAACTTATGTAGGAGGATTTGCTTCATCTCTGTGTATCATTTGAGGCCAGTCACTTCACTGGGTATATGTAAGTGTTTACAACCACTTTAAGTTCATTTTACCATATCATATCATACCTTGTGAGGTCTGAGGAATTCTATTGTATGTATAATAGATTTTTGGTGAATTCCTTTCTCCCCTTCACAGTCATTCTCTCTTCTCTGCAGAATCTGAATATGCCAAGAATACCATCCGATTATGTGAGTCTGCACGGAGTGCCCTGGGCCAGCAGGTACTGAGACGGTGTTCACAGCTGTGACAGCTTCTAATGCTACCAGGAAAATGAAATGATTATTGCTGAGTTTAGGATTGTACATGTGGTTCTTGGTATGTGACACCTCTGGATTGAGGGGGAATGTTATTATTATACAGGATTTATATAGCGCCAACAGTTTGCTCAGCGCTTTACAATATAACGGGAGACAATACAGCAACAATACAGTTCAATGCAAGCGGGTTAGGAGGGCCTGATCCTTGGAGCTTCCAATTTAGGATAGGTCAACTCACATTTCTTTGTGAAAAAACAGGCTCATAGGGTGCAGTCTCATAGAGGTAGAGGAACGGCTGTGTCCTGGCTATGACAGCCGTGTCTGTGCTCAGGAATCGCGGTAACAGGAGAAGAAAACCTGGTCGGCATCTTGTCTCCTAAAGATGACATCTGGAACGCACGTTGAGGCAAAACGTCGGCGTGATGACCAGTATGCATAGCGATGCGTTTCAGAGCATGCGCTAACCTCTGAGGGCGGAAGCACGCTCCTTTGTCAAGCTCTGTACCCTATGAGCCTGTTTTTTCACAAAGAAATGTGAGTTGTTCTATATTTGACTCCTATTAAATAGTGGTTTATACTGCACTTAGAGGCGCTTCTTTTCTTTTCTTCGTCATGATTTCATTTGATGCTCTGAATCCACAGTCCACAGTGGAATAAATCTGCATGTTTCAGTGTCAGCTTGTGTTAAGACATGATGCATGAAGCCTGACACTGCACAGGTTAATGCCTGACCTCTGTCTGTAGTGAGAGAAATGACACTTCCTGTTAAGAAGCAACATATCCCACAATCCCTAGGTCTCTCAGTCTAGTGCTAGTGCAGGTGAACGCTACACAGATACAAACAGGCAGAGCCATTAACCTAGAGATCATCGTGCAGGCTTTCATTATATTAGTACACCGACAATTTTGTGATGCAACAGAGGAAATGGCAGGGCCATGAATGTATGCTGTATTACCTGGAACAAGAAGTTGCCTGTCCCTGGTAAATAGGGACAAGCTAGGTGAATGAATACATGGACATAAGGGAATTAATCAGCCATGACACTACAAACAGCATCCACAACATGTGAACCCATCATTACAGGGTAAAGCAAACAAGTTTCACAGGAATTATATGTACACTAATACCTTGTTAAAACAACAAAAATATTTTAAAGTGTGCAATGCCTTTAAAAATAAATGTAAATACATGCCATGTTAAATTCATGGTGGCTGAAATGTGTAAAGCATCACTTGCAAAGCATGTCAAAATCCCTCTCCAGGAAAATGTCAGGCTGTAGCTGGGCAGTAAAACCACAGCTCAACCACTTATTTATACCTCACCAGCCAAAGAGGCCTGGAAAGGCCTGTCCACTGCCAGCATGCAGCTGAGAAGAACCATTGCTCTTTGTGTGAAAGCACTGGTCTCAGTGGTGTCACTAGGGTTGGTGATACCTGGTGTGGCAACACATGGTTTCACCCTCCACCCCCTCCCCCCCCCCCCAATCTTTTTTTTCCCATATAACACTATTTACTATGCTTCAGTTATGAATGGACGCAAGAGTGATCAGTACCAAACACTTACTGTGTCCATTCACTAAAGAAAGGGTCCAGCAAATGACATATATACCGGCCTCTTCCCCTGCTCTCCATCCTGAGGATTAGCATTCCCCCTGTGTACCTGCAGCAGCCAGCAGGAGAGGGAAACTGGTGGAGCTGTGGGAGGGGGGCCCAGGCACACAGGGAGGAAATCAGATATGAGCATAACATGAAGGAGGATTGGTGCGGCAGATCGGGAGCAATTACGGAACGATGCTCTGTGTCTGTGTCTCTCCCTACAGCAGCTGAAAGCTGGCGGGAGGGAGAGGGGGAGAAACCGGCTTTCAACTGCTGCAGGGAGAGACACAGATACAGGGCACCCTCATAGCGATGCCACTGACTGGTCTCTTTACAGAAGTCTGTGACACCTCCTACTAAGTCAGATCTACATATAACTCTGCAAACAGTCAAGCTCATGGTCCATGCTGAATGGAAAACTCTGACTCTGACTCAGAAGGGAGCATCTTGGACTTCTTCAAAGGAATCACTGCTTCTCCACAGCGAGCAAGAGTCCCACTCTACAGCATGCTGGCAGAGGACAGACATTTCTACTCATGCTGTGGCTGTTTTTTTAGGAAAACAAACTGAAAGACTTTGCAGACCTTTTGATGCTCTTTGAAGAAAAGTGAAAGTGGCTTTTCTGGCTAATAAAGTAACAAGCATCCTGAGGTGTGTGTGCATGTGAAGGATCTTTCATTTTAAAAAGTAGAAATGGAGTACAGGTTCACAATAAAAGAATCATACCTTTCTACATAAAGATATTTACAGAGGGGAAAGGAGAATCCAGGTAAGTAAATAGATGGATCTTGGAACCAAGATAGCAACCCTTGGTGGGTTTTCATTGAGGTTCCAGTTGACATATAGTTTATGATCCATGTTGACCTTGACTGAAGCTTGTTCTATGGTTGGCCCATCCAGCACATAGGCATATAGACAAATTATTCCTCATAGTGGGTTTTGGTTTAATGTCTACTCAGACTGCACTTATCTTCAGATGAACAATGAGATATATATATTTGGTGGATGTGTGTGCTTCTCTTTGACCAGAATGAATTACAACCATGCATATTATCTACCGTTTGTTACTCTTTCCTCATTGGCCTTCAGCTTAGTCACTGGAAGAGAAGCAATTTATAGAATTGTCACTCTCCTAGCAAAGTAGATATTGGTATATATGGGAATATACTTAAATCCAATATGTAGTTTTCTTCTGGGGACCTCCTCAGTGATTCAGTCTGTGTGGACTTTTGCAGCAATGTATGCCTTTACAAGATGTCTACCTCCTCCATCTGGACCATGAATCCCAGACAGGATCCTCAGCCCTTGAGACAGTTGCTCTTCTACAAATGAAGAAGTATTGCCTGGTGAGCAGAGAGATCAACAATTTATTAACAAATGATGACTCATTGATGATGATGGCTTTTTAACCCACTGAATTAGTTACAAGCACCTCACAGCTCACATATTAATGACTGCAAGATGCCAGATCTTCCTTAGGCTTACATTATGCAATTTTCTTTCCTACAACCGTGGGTTGCGAGAAAGAAAATCATTTGATTGGAGTCTCTCCCGCAGAGCTATTGTGTTCTCCAGGTGGGGGAGCCGTTGCTTCCAGGAGAACACAGTGATTACTGCTGGCAATAATTGAATGAAGAATCCAAAAGGCTGGTTGTACTCAACTCGTATAACAATCAACTTGGGTACAACCAGCCTGTCCAAAGGTGGTTCAATTCTCGGCCGGTCGTCCCTGCTGAACCAGCTGACATTCAAACCATCTATGGCTGGCTTTGGATCTACAGCCCCTCAGGCAGATTTAATCAGCAGCATTTAGAGGTTAGAAGGTTGGAAGAGCTGATAGCAAGACTTTGAAATATAGTCAGTAAATTTCAGAAAACATGGGTCAGGAGGGATCAGCCTTACTACATCTCCACCAAACCACCCTCCCTTCTCCCTTGAAGTTGATACAACCCCCTCTCCTACTCCTTAACTGATCTTGACAGGATCTTGTCACCCTGACTATTGATTTTAAAATAAATCATCCCATTATATTATATGTGCAATTAAGGTATGCCATGTATGTTATTCACCTGTGAAAGCCTCCTTTGTGTAGACTTTAAAAAGCCGTGAGACTGCTGCTGCATGCTACCATCTTGGATGTGATGTCAGCAGCCCCAGAAGACTCTGAGATGTCCTTCTTTAGTATTGCCCTTTGTTCCTCCCCAGTTATATAGGGAGGGAATGGGAGGAGCAGTGGAGCTGGGTCAGCACACAAAGTAATCAGATCCTCCCAGAGAAGGAGAGGGCTATGATGTGCAAGGAGGGAGAGGACTGTGCTAGGTTATTGACTCTCCTAGATCAGTCAGATTTTTTACAAGATTGGCAGCACATTGTAATTGAATATAAATCCTTTGCAGAATGGAAACACTGAAAGTCAGCATACTTTACTTTTCTGTGTTTTTAACCCTGCAATTTTTTTAAGCTGGTACCAGGGTCTTTTTAAAACTCACAAAGAAAGACCATTCAACACACTAGTTATCTGTGAAATGTTTGTTTTTTACATGTATTTCTTATATTCAGTTGATAAGTGAAAATTCTTACCTATACATCACCAAGAGATGAAGCAGATTGTACCATGAGATTAACATTTTATATATAAATAGTCAACATGTCTGCTTTGTAAATGCCTAGATTTAACTATAATCATCTCTCTAAATCATGTACACAATGCATACCTGTTATTTGCTACCACTGACTAATGAAAATTTGTATTCCCATTTATTTTACTGCCCTATCTCTTCATCCACATTGTTTGTATTCATAGAAATACAAAAATATATGTAATTAAAGTAAATGGGATGGCAATCATTTTTACAAGGAGGACAGTAATTAGAGTCTTATGTCTCCTATAAAAAAATCATCTAACCTAAAATAAATGTTACAATTACCATTTACATACAAGTATGGAGGATCCATTGTGTACCCAGGTGCTAAATAACATTTTATTCATTTTTTTGTGTATTTTTTTTTGTTCTGTGTTTTCAGACCTTGCAGGCTATGGGAGGCATACCTTGGTTGGCATTTGGTCATTTATTGGTGGGATTGCAGACAGTCAACCATGTGTAGAAAAATACCTAATATTGAAACTGACTTTATTTCAACTATTTGGTTCTGATAAGTCATCTATTACATACATACACTCAATATATACAGTGTATATACACCAAACATATACACTGAACAATACAGTTAAGAGTCAGTCCACCAAAAATTGGTATATTAGTTTTTGGTAGATATTGACAGAGGGTTAAACCACATGGCAGTTTTTTTATATGTTATTGGTGAGATATCTGCACAGGTTAATGAGTATACTACACACCTACTGTAGTCATTGTGGGAGGCTTCCACCAGGGGCGGACTGACCATTCGAGCACTCGGGCACTGCCTGAGGGCCCGGGGTCAGTAGCGGGCCCCATGAAATTCCCCTGGTACCTTTTATAGGCTTTTTTGGGTGTGCTTTGAGTGTGGGCAAGGACACAGGGGCCCCATGATCCCCTATTGCCTGGGGACCCCATGAGTTGTCAGTCCACCCCTGGCTTCCACTCTCCTTGTTGAGCCTTATGGAGAAAGCAACAGGAGGAGGAAAACCCCACAAAAGTGGTCTGGGAACCCCAACTCTCCTATGTTAAAAGGAACAGAGTCTGGATTTATGCCAGAGAGATGTCACTGTTTTAGTATCCAAGACATGAAGATACCAGGAGCTGAATCAGACCACCTATAACTAAAATATCACCTTTGGGTGGATTGACCCTTTAGGAAACAAAGATCATTAGCTCAGGAAGTACACAGAGACCAAGCAAATGATTAAGATACAGGGACAATTTTCAAACACGCTAAAGGACGGAAAACTACCCATGCCTCATAGACTAATGTCTTTCAGCCTCTGTCAGCAAAGAAGACGGAGATTGAGAAATGGCGGAAGGAGTTTCGAGAGCAGTGGTTAAGGGAACAGAAAAGAATGGTAAGTTATATCACCTGTGGTAAATCCCTGGCTTGTATTTATAATACCAGGAATAAAAGAGGGAATGATGATCAGTCACTCAAAATAATCAGAACAACAAAAGGTCATATCTTATCTGGGTATTTTGACTTACTGTGCTTTCCTTATATATTTTATTTAAAAACTAGCTGGGTTTTATTAAAGAAAATGAATTAAATTCTGACCATTTGTGACGGAGCATTATGTTGTCTCTTCACCATCTTTTTTAACCCTGTAAATACTACCCCACTGTGCCTCAAACACATGGAATCGGCACAGTTGCTGCAGGGTGGTTGTGGTGTCATTCACTTGTATGGATCACATTCATAACAGCTCTGTTTTCTATACCAGTGAACTATGATTGGCCCACAGCTATCACATGGGATCTCCACCAATCACAGCACCCTGTACCATGTAAAATAAGCATGCAGCGCTAGAAATGTCATAAGAGCATAAAACATATATAAAACATGTATGAAAAAGTCCAACTATTGTCAATATAGATGACCATATTGTGGTTATGTCATAACCTTTAGCAGCAATCAAAGCACATCAAATAAAATGAAACAGGTAGATATACACACTGAAACGTTATACAGGTACACATGTAGAAAACGTCCAAAGTTGCGTTTAAAGGTGCATAAAAGTGAAGTAGAATTCAATCAAAATAGATAAGTGGAAATCCGTGATAATGGTGTTGAGATAAATGAGCGTAGATTGCACTAACCAGAGAGTACATTTGGACCAGCTCCTGGTCATCAACATCTGGTAGCTGGAACACTGGATCATCTAGTGAGCATCAATTGGGTAGGCAGCACACCATCCAAGGCATCCAGGCACCAGGAGTACACTCGTTCAAACACCAGGGGGAGCCACACTTGTAGATATTGCGGGGTCACCACAGACCTCCTTAGAAAGGAGGTTCATAACAAATGAGCCAAAGCAGAAAGAATTTCCATAGTGTAGTACTTTTTATTAAATAACAAGGTAACAGGTAAAAACAAATACACTCACATTTAAAATGGATTTAGCAGCAGTAAAAATGGCCGCCGGCCGTCCACGTGGGCTGTGCAGTGTGACGTCACTACATAGGGTAGCTTCCTAACATGTTTCGTGCGCCTACACGTTATCATGTGGTTAGCTGTAGCCAATCACAGATCACTATTAATCATTGCTGTTATAAATGAAACTCATTCATGACCATTCAAAGCATTGTTGTTACAATGATCATCATTGTACCAGCAAATAAAGTGTAAAAAAAAAAAAAAATCCCCGATCACCCTCCCCCCCAGAGTAGTACAGTGTTACTATGGTGACACTGAACTACTCAGATGAAAGCATGCTACAAAAAGGAAAAAGTAGAGAAATGAAAAAAATTGTATAAGAAAGATTTTAACAGTCGAATACAAAATTATTTAAATTCTTTTTAGTTTTCTTTTTAACATACTGTCATCAGTGAGTATCCCTGATCATCGTCACACCAGTCTCATGATAAAGCTGTACTGCGCTGATGACAGTATGTAAAAAAAATTTTTTTATTGAATCACTTTATTTTCCCAAAAAATTTGACAAAAAATTACAACATCAATAAACTCGCCATACTTCTTACTACATACCTCAGACTGTCTACTTTCCAAAAAGGGGTCATTTGTACTGTTCTGGCATTTTAAGGGTCTCAAAAAATGAGATCTACCATCAGTACTAGAGATGAGCGAAGAAATGAAAAATTCGATTCGACTGATTCGGCGAATTCGTGGACAATATTCGATTCGAGTCGAATAAATTCGCTGTGAATTTAACTTAAAAAAGGGTGTTTCTAGGCTTCAGAGAGACTTAATATTAGTGCAGAACACTGTACCTTTAATTTAAATGCCCTTGGAGTCTGCTGGGGAAGAGAAATAATACTGTCAGTCAGTATGACATGCAGATGAGTGCCGTCGATCTTAGAATCACCGCACACTTCACTCATTTGGGCAGTCACGGGGCCAAAACCAGAGTGTGGAGCCACAGTGTGGCGGTGGAGGCAGCAGCAATGGGAGGCCATACAGCACCCTATGACAAAAAATGGAAACCACCAGCAGTGTGAGGAGACCTGAAAGTGGCACATGGCAGAGTGTGGCGATAGAGACAGCAGCAATGGGAGGCGTACAGGGACCCATGACACACTCTGGACCTGGCAGCAGCATGAGGAGGCGGTACAGGGGCCCATGACAGATTACGGGCCTGGCAGCAGCATGAGGAGTCGGTACAGGGGCCCATGGCAGATTACGGGCCTGGCAGCAGCAATGGGAGGCCGTACAGGGACCCATGACACACTCTGGACCTGGCAGCAGCATGGGGAGGCGGTACAGGGGCCCATGACAGATTACGGGCCTGGCAGCAGCATGAGGAGTCGGTACGGGGGCCCATGACACACTCTGGACCTGGCAGCAGCATGAGGAGGCGGTACAGGGGCGCATGACAGATTACGAG